TAAAATTTCCTTTTTACTGGGTTGTTGAAAGGCATCAATTAATATTTCAATGCGCTTTCTGATTTCTGTGTCGTATCTGTCGTCTGCATTTAAAATGCTTCCCAGATACATGAACTATGTGTACTACTATTTAGATCCCCGATATCTGTTTACTAAAAACATTTTGTGCATTTAAATTTAGGAGGACCGACAAAAAATCGCGCTACCTAAGGTTTAAAATTGAATTCTAAAAAATAAAATACTTTTCTTGAAGTTTTTATTTTAGTTTTAATTTCCAGCTAATAGATTAAATGTAATATTTCCAATAAGCAAAATTCTTTTCTATATTTCAAAACAATTTTAAATTGACTGGAAGTTATTTTTCTTACTAAGATTGCTGATTCGCGCCCTTTCTTTCATCGCAATTTTATTCTCTTTATTTAAAGATCTCCCAAAAATAAAATTTCTTTCTGAAATATTATGTGAGAAATATTAGCTACTTTACTGCATAATAAGCATGATTTGAAACAAAGATTAATTACTTTAATTATTAAATATTGCGGAAATGCATTTTTAACCTGATTATATCTGTGTTTTTAAACCGACACTAAATGTCTTGGCGTGTTGACAGCCTAATTCTAATGTTTTTCTACGCAGATTGTAGCTGTAAAACATAATTTAAGAAAATGACTTGAGCGTTTTTTTTTTTATATAATTTTTAAATAATCAGTAATCTTTAAAAAATAGGAACATATTCTTCGTAATGTAATTTTTTTATTGAATTTTAGAAATGTTGGCTTAAAATTACTATAGAAATCGCTCTTATTTTCTAATAAGGTCGTGTATGGTCGCCCATATATACAATCGCCGGCACGTTTATAAATATTTGCGTTTGATGATTTCTACTATTCTTGTCAATTTATTATTAGTAAATATAATTTTCACTTAATAATAATATCATCTAAAATCCTGAAATGAATAAAGAATTTTAAAATATTTAATATTTAATTGAGTGTCCTTTAATTAAAACAATCTATTATGTTTTAAATATTTGTAAAATTAAAAAAAAATATCTTGTAAAAATTCCTTATTCATCGAAAAAAATTTTTCTTGCGACAAAAGTGTCCTTAACATATTTGTAAGCACACTTAAAACTTTACTAATAAAATAGTGCTATAGATTTTCATTTTTTGATTTTACGGTTCAGAGCAGATTTCCGGTAAATAGTGTTTCTGTCTGGCAAAAAAAAAAAATTGACAATTTAAAGTCTCCAAGGAATCCTGCTTTTTTCCTAATCTGAATATGAATAGGGGGAAATTTTAATTTCTCGAAATTACATAAGATTAAAAAAGGTGGGGCGGCAACAGATAATATATATATATATATATATATATATATATATATATATATATATATATAAATTTTTTACGATGATTTTCTAAAAAAACAAAAAAATAATTTCATTCATTTGTTAATATGTACCTGTTCCCTGACATCTACAAGCTTCAAAAGCTTAAATATATTGGCCTCTTGAATACTGATCATTTACTGTTCTTTTTGTTGATTCTACTGTTAATAACCCTTGGTAATCTAGAATCATTTCTTGACCTTCTTAAGTTCAAATGATTATATATTTGCTTATTTGTAAAAAAAAAAAAAAAATGATATTTTTTTTTATGTTACTGATAAAAAATTTGACCGTAAATAACATATAAGCTACATTATTATAGGGTAGATATTATGAAATGAAACGGACCTAATCTTTCCCACATTTACTTATATATTTCCGCTGAGAATTAAATAAACATCTGTATCGTAATAACTATTTCATTGCGAACAAATTACTTATCTCATAAAATCCGACACAGTTTATAGGAATATATATATATATATATATATATATATATGTGTGTGTGTGTGTGTGTGTGTGTGTGTGTGTGTGTGTGTATTTATTTATGAATTTATGTGTGCATGTATGTATGTGTCCGTATTAAATATATATTACTCGATGTAAATATTTACTTTTGCAGTAAATAAACAGGAAAATAAATGTGTAAAATAGACACAGGCATAAACGTACACATACTCATATATATTCATACACGAAACGCACGCGCGCACACACCCACCAATATATATAAATAGTGAGAGAGAGAGAGAGAAAGAGAGAGAAAGCGAGAGAGTGAGAGATGTAGATACATTCAACTATCATCCGGTCCACGCACCTCTCCAGGCATTTTAAACAGGTGTACATGTGTATCTCTTCATCCTTGTTTAGGAATGGGTTTCCAATTCGTCCGAAAGTATTTTCCTGCTTTCTCTTTCACATCCAGTAGCCCCTTGCGTCTTAGTGGCAGTATTGAAATTGAGATCAACACACATCAGTGACAGTCCATTTCATGCTTAAACGCCATCCACAGGCCATGAATTTTAGCTCGACTATTTATATACGCTAGTAAATGATGCATCATGTGTTGGTCTGTTCTGTTATTGTAAAGGTTACTGAATAGGGGTCACGGCTGTTTAAAATTATTCTGGAGGCTACTGAGTGGAAATAATTGTGGATCCGAATGCAGTTTTAAGCCTATTCTATAAAGTTTTTATTAACGATATTATTGATGACAATGTAATTTGTTGTTAACCGTTGTTATTATTAAGTTTACTTGCGTTTATACGTGCATTCGTAGTTTGTTAATTTGTCTAATATTGACTTAATTCATTACACTTATTTATTAATTCATTTATTTTAGAGTATTGTTTATTGATTTATTTTTTGTTTGTTTTAATGTTCAAATTTAAGCAACGCAGTAAATATATTAGTTTACGTGTCTTACATTTTGAGAAGTGTTCTGACAATTTATTTACTAATTTTTGTCGGTCGTGGAAGGTCTGGAAAGGTAATTGAAGCTATTTATTCATCCAGACAGATATCGCACAGTGAGAGATTGTATTAATAAAATAGAGTTCAATATAGTATGACGGAGCTATTAAGTATATATTATACATTTTTACTCACCAAGAGATTGCGTTGTGCATGTGTGTATGTGCTGGAATAGTTGGATAATATTGTTTGGATTGATCATTAATGATGACAAAGTTATGAATCCATTCATCTTCCCAACGGTATTTAGACTCAAGACGGAGGCCGGCATCAAGTGTCTTGAGGAGGTGGCTGCTAGGGAATCCTATGCCTGCCAACAGAACTTTGCTCCATGCTACACAAGCAGAAGTACCCAGTCATGGCTGCCAAACAATTCGGCAACCGCATCAACCATTACATCTGGCTACCTAACTACCTACATTGCAACTCCCTTGCTTATTATGTGTGGGATGTAGTTGAGCGAGAAGCAACAGAACTCTTTTTAACACCAACTATGAACTGAAGACAAGGATTATGGCAGCATTCACCAATTTATACAAGGTGACCGGCCAGAAGAAAGCCCGGGAATCACCACATACTCTGGAAGCTGTAGTTGACGGCAATGGCGATTTTATTGAATAAATGTACTCGTTAGTACTTGAGAAAATTTTTTTGCCATTTTGGTAAATATATATGTTAAAATTTGATATTAGTACTATCTTAAAGTTTGCGTCATTCAGACGCCAATTTATACATCGCACCCTATATGTGTATGCGTGTGCGTGTGTAAAGAGAGGGAGACAGAGAAAGAGAGAGAGGAATAGAAAGTATATGCCGATTCGACAGAGGATATGTATATGTATAATTAAGGAGACACATGCCAAATGATTTTTGCTATTAAAAAATACATATTAATTTATGATGTAATTATTATATAAATGCATGCTTTATGCTTTGCCTTATACAGACATGTATATATCTATCTATAAACACACACATGCATATATATATATATATATATATATATA